AAGATTTCAACTCATTTCCTTCGTTAGAAATTCGAAAGCGTCGTAATTTAAAAAAAATAATACAATTTAATAATATTCATCAGACTCAAATTAATTTAAAGTTATTTTATTTAAAAAAGTCTGGAAGGAAAACAAACGTTTTGTACGTTTAAAGAAAGAAAAACAAACAAACAAACGAACAAACAAACAAACAAAATTTGAACGAGAATCAATTTTATTTTAATTTCATTTCGCACACGTACAATTTTCCAAAATCGTGGACATTTACCGCCGCGACTACCCCCACCACCACCACCAAACGGAAAATTCATAAGTTTTTCTATGAAATGATGTACGCACACACGCACACCCACTCCTACCCCCCTTTACTCGACAAGTTTTAAAACTAAGTAATACTTTTTCTTTTTCTTAAATCTCTTAAAAGGAAATGAAAAAAAAAAAAATTTCTCTCTCCCTTCTCTCCAATCCTTTCCTTTCCTTTCCTTTTCCTTTTCCTTTTTTCCTCTTCTTTTCTTTATATACGAATATTATATGAAAAAGCAAGGTTCTTACGTCGAGCTTCAACTTTTTCCTTTTTTTCCTTTTTTTCCTTTTTTTTTTCCTTTTCACTTTTTCAACTTATCTTTTTTTTTTTTTTCTTTTACTCTTTTTCCGTACGAACTTTTCTTTTTTTTTGCAACCATTGATTTTTCCAACGTTTTATAATGAAAATTGTCTTTTTATAAGAAAACGACAAAAATAAAATAATGATGAAAATTTTCTATTACTTTGGTTTATTCTTTTCGTATTATTATTATTATTATTTCGAATTTTTCCGGTGATTCCTTTCCACACACACCCCCTCCCCCCCTCGACAACTTTGTTCATATATTTTTTTAATCGATCGAATTTTTATGTGACTCGGAAAAACTTTTGTCTTTTGTCGCATAAAAAACGTTTAAAATCAACAAACGAATTTCTTCTTTTTTTTAATAAGAAAAACCGCACAAAAAACGAATTTTCATTAAACCTTTTTTTAGCAATAACATAAATAAAAGAGAAAGAGAGAGAGAGAAAGAGAATGAAAGAAAAACAAAGAGAAAATAAATAAATAAATAAAAAAAAAAAAAACTTACCGAAGCTTGATCGGCCACGATAACCATAATCCGTGACTTCGTCTCTTTTGTATCCGACGTCATCATTCTTTTTTGAACCTTCTGCTTCTATAAAAATAAAAATAAATAATAATAATAATAATAATAATAATAATAATAGTAAAAAGATAAAAATAAAATTTTTTAAACTTCCCCCCCCCCCCGTTCGTTATTTGATGAACGTTTTGTGGTGGAATGTTTTCTCGTCGTAATAAAATTTATTTATTTATCCATCTATCTATCTATCTATCTATCTATTCATCCATTTTTTTTTTTTTTCAAGGGTAAAATATATAATGGTGGCAATAAAAAAAAAAAAATGTAATAACAAACGGTTGTTTCGAAAAAGAGAGAGAGAGAGAGAGAGAAAGAACGTGATCTTTCATTCTTTTGATTAAATTCGAATCCTCACGACGTGAAAAAAAAAATCTTCGCAAAAAAAAAGTGAAAAAATTCTTTAAAAAAAAACAATTTCCTCCATTTTTTGTCGTTTTCTCATAAGTTTCATCACAGATTGTAATCGTGTAATTACATTTTAACGGAATTGAATTTTATTCTTTTGCCACGACTTTTTACGATCACATTTTCCCCGATATTTTACCCAATACTTTTCGTAAATCGACGTGACAGTGTTTGTTTATTTTTTTTTTATTAAGACAAGAATTGAAAAACCACAAAATTAAAAACATCAGTTTGACTTTTATTTTTTCTACCCCCTCCCTCTCCCCACCCCAATTTTCTTTTTTTTTGCCTTGCCTTGCCTTTTGGAAAAAAAAAACCAAAAGTGCACTTAAGTTGAAAATATTTGAGCCCTGAAACAACAACAACAACAACCGTAATAAAATTTTTCTTACATGTTTGCCAAAAAAAAAAAAAAAAAACTTAAAAACTCACTTAACTTTCTTTCTCTTTTTCTATTTTTTTTTCATCTGTTTCAAACGTCGATCGAAACACTTCTTATTTTATTTTAAAAACGTCGTAAAAATAAAAAAACAAACAAAAACAAACAAAAAACAAACAAAAAACAAAAACCTCAAGAGTTGAATTAAAAACAAACGAACCCACATAAATAATAATAATAACGAAGGAAATAATCCTTCGTTTGGTGGTCAGTTACCTTTTCTACGGAAGGGAAAGAAGGAAGTTCGAAAACAACAACGACAACAACAACCAACAACAACAACAACCTTTGAAAATTAATTTTTATTTTTCTAAATAAATATAAGAAGAAAAACCTTTAAAAAAAAAAAAACTTTTACATCCATTAAAAAACTTCTAATTCTTCGGGTGATTAAACCTTGTTATTTTAAGCCTTTAATAATTACTCAACCTTTTAGTTGTAATTAAAAAAAAAAAAGAAGGAGAGGGGGAAAGGGGGAGGGGGATGGGGCAAAGGTTTTTCCCTTACACCGTAAATCTCATTTTTTATAACCTTTCCTTTTTTCCTTTTTTTAAACTGAATTTCACACGAAAATTTACGCAAAAAACAAATCGAAAAGCGAGAGAACGAAAACACCTGAACGGATTCGAAACCGCTAAAAACTCGTCTGTCGAATTTCGAATATTAAAAAAAAAAAAAAAAAAAAAGAGAAAACAATGGCGAAAACCTTTGAATAAGAAAAATACAAAAAATTTGATTTTTTCATATTTGAGACACGTTTTTGACACCCTCATTCAAACAAGTTTTTTTTCTTTTTCCACGATTTTCCAACGTTTTTTCTCATTCTTTCTTTTTTTCTTTTGTCATTTCGATTAGATTTTCCTTTTTTTTTTTTCTTTTTTTTAGCACATACCTTTTTGCTTTTTCTATTATTTGTTTTTTCTTTTTCTTCTTTTTTCCTACACAAAACATCATCTCAACATAGAAAGAAGAAGGAAAAAAAAAAAAAAAGAAAACCTCAAGAAAATCGAAAAAGGAAAATTATTTTCTACCTGCCACGTGGCAGATGTTTTAAAATCAAATTAAAAAAAAAAAAAAAAAAAACGATACGATACGATACGATATTTTTCTTCCATTAAATTTTTTATTATTATTATTATTATTTTTATTTAAAAGCAGAAGACGGTAAAAAAAATTTTTAATTAAAACCGTTTTTTTTTCTTCTTTTTTTTTTATGCATTTTGATTTTAATTGGCTACAAAATTTTATGATAAATTATTATATGACTTTAATATGAAAAAGAAAAAAAAAAAAAGAAATTTTTTTTTTTTTTTAAATTAAATGATGGGAAATTTTTTTTTCTTTTCTTTTTTTCTTTTTTTTCCACTTTCTCGCAAACTTTTCACATCATTTATCACCTTTTACTATCTCTCTCTCTCTCTTTTTTTTTTGTCTCACCTCGTTATTGATTACATCTTTTGGCAATAAAACGAATTTAATAATTGAAAAAAATTTACAGAAAAGAGAAAGAGAAAGAGAAAAAAAAAAAAAAAAAGGAAAAGAAAAAAAAAAAAGACATAAAAGATTATGAGTTCGAACGGCCATTAGCTGATGAGAAAAAAAAAAAAAAGGGCAAAAACTTTGGATTTAAAAAAAATAATAATAATGATGATGATGATGATGATTAAAAAGAATCTCTCTTTTCATTTTCGATAAAGAACACTTTTTACTTGGTAAATAAAATTTAGTTTTCACGCATTGAAATCTTTTGTTTACGTTTTTCCAAAAAGAAAAACTCGATCAAAAAATGATTTAAGAAATTTCGAGATCGTCAATCATCTGATTTGCTTTTTCAATAAATAACAAAACGATCGAAAAAAAGAATAACAAACTTTGTAACGACAGACAAACGACGCAACCGTTTGCGTTTGTTGTAAAAACAAACTCCGACGCGATTCGGTCGCGACTAAGGAAAACTCACATTAAAAAAAAAAAAAAAAAAAAAAAAAAGGTTTTTCACGACTCGGAAAATGTCCGAGACTAATTACGATATCGCCGATACTCTACAATAAAGAAAAAAAAAAGCAGAAGACGACATTTTTAACCGGATATAAAAGAAATCGATTTTGCAATCGATTAGATTTTTGTATTCATCACAAAAAAAAAAAAAAAAATTCAACAATTATTAACGTTGACGAATCAATTTTTTTTTTTTTCATATTTTGGCAACAGATTTTAACCAAATAATAATAATAATAATAAGTAAGCCTTCGCTTTAAGTCAAACATTTTTATATTATTTAACGGGAAAAATAACTTCGAATGAACGAGTTTTCTAAACATGAAATTTTCTTTCCCGTTGTAAGGCAGCAGAAAAAAAAAGAAATAATAAAATACAACAACAACAGCAGCAGCAACAACAACAACAACAAGAACGACTAAAAAAGGAAAAAAAATGCAAAGCCATCAATTTTTTTAACATGGCGAAATAAAGGAAATGAAACAAGATTATTTATAAAACAAAAAAAAAAAGTAAAAATAAAGTAAAATAAAAATTAAATGAGCATGAAAACGATTTAAAAATTTACAAAAGAGGGAAAAAATAATGAGAAAAAGAGACAGAGAAAGAGAGTGAGAGAGAGGGGGGGGGAAGCGAAGGTACAGAACCCCCCCAAAAAAAAAAAAAAGGAAAAAAAGGAAAAAAAAAAAGATTTATCGTTAAAGACTTGAACAAAAACGGAAATCACACTTCGCACTATTTCCTTTTTATAAAATGACATTTTCTCCTTCTCATCATTTCATTTTCCTTCTTTCTTTCATTTCAACAGTAATAATTCGCCATTTTCAATTACGCATTCAATTTACTATTTCACAAACAAAAAAAAAAAAAAAAATCCTATTTTCATCGTTTAAATTTACTCGAACGTAGGAGGGAGAGGGAGACGAGTGAGAGAGGGTAGTGGGGGGTAAATAAACATAAAACAAAACTCACCCGAATTGAACTTTGTCGAATAATGATGAGGAAGTTCCGGTGTTTGTGTTTCGGAATTGAAGTTTTTTATATATTGCCAATCCTCTCGCAGCTTCTTTACTTTACCCTAAAAAAAAAAAAAAAATGAAAAAATAATTGTTTTCATTTTATCGAACGCGCGCCTAAAAAAAAAAATAATAATAATTTTTCGAATGTCAGGTTTTCTTTTTTTTTTTCCTTCTTTCATTTCTTCTTTCATTTCTTCTTTCATTTCTCTTTATTTTATTTACTTTTGATTCTTTCGACAACAGAATCATCAACATCATCGGCAGCCATAACTGGGAATTCAGCCAACCCTATTCCTTATTATTATTATTATTACTATCTTTTCCTTTTTTTTTTCTCTCTTCAATGTATTTCAATTTTATTTGAAAAAATGATGGCATATGAACGGAAAACCGATGCTTTTTTACGTTTCTTCCAAACGTGTTTCCCCCCACAAAAATAAACTTTGATAGTTTAAATAGTAACGAATTGAGAATAAATACCTGAAGTTGCGGGGAGACAGTTTGTTCGACGACATTACATTCCTTTTCCAAATTCGTGAAATTTCCTAAAACTTCTTTGATTTCGGATTCTCTATCTATGACTTCGGCAATTATTGAGTCCGTCGATGATTGATTCGGAGCAGACAATTTGTTTTTCGCACTCGACAACCATTCGGCTACAACTTCCAATCGAGCCGTGTATTTTTCCAAAGACGTTAATTTTCCTTCGACGTTTTCCCTTTGTTCCAAAGCGGTTCCCAGTGCCGTATCTACCGCCACTCTATTGATTGCTTCGTCTGGACCAATTTTTGATTGATCCATCGATCTAAGCGCTTGACGCAATTCTTCTTCTCTACTCTGTAAATATGATAATTTTTTTTTTCTTTTTTTTTTTTTCAATTTACGATTTTTCCGGGATTTAATTTGTCAAAATTTTAGGAAAAAAAGAAAAAATTAAATTTATTTTAGAAAATATCTCAGTTAATCCCTTTAAAGAATTGAAATTAATTTTTTCAAAGTTGGAATTTTTTTTTTTTTTTTTTTTTTCTCAAAATCGGTTCGTAACGGAATGGGGGAGAGAAAAAGAGAGAGAGAGAGAGACAAAAAGAAAACGGAAATAACTGGAGGAGACGTTAAAAAAAAAAAAAAAAAAACTATTATTAATTTTGTTTAAAAAATGTAAACAACAATGGAAAAAGGTCAATAACCCCGTTAAAACCGAGTCTCCGGCAAAAAAAAAAAAAAAAAAAACAAATCAACCCACGTTATTACTTTTTTTTTTTAATAAAACAAATTTTACTGGAATTCTTATGTAGCAAACAACAAATTATTTGCACTTTTCGTCGAAATTGCGGGGAGGGAGAGGGGGGTGAGGGGGTGGCGAAAGAAAAAAATTACAAAAATTAATTAACAATTAAATAAAATTCTTTTTTCATTTCATTTTTATTTTTTATTTTTTTTTATCAAAATATTATTCCTTCCTTCTTTATCGATTTTTTTTTTTTTTTATACCTTACTTCCGGGAAAACTTTTTTAAAAAGGGAAAAAATTTTCCTTTTTTTTCCTTTTTAAAAAATCCATTTATAAAAAGTAATAAAAATTTACCGAAACAAAACTTTTTACCAAAAGAAAAAAAAAAAATTAATAAAAATTCCAAATAATTTTTTTTTTTTTATTTACCCGATGAAAAAAATTGAAAAAATTATTATTATTATTATTATTACTTTTCAACCTTTCATCTTTTCTTTTTAAAAAAAAAAACAATAAATAAGTAAAAATTTGTTTTCCAGAATAAACGTAAATATATAAATATTACCTTTCGAGAATATTCCTGTGGAAAATGTTTCAATTTCCAATTATACCTCCAACATCCTAACATTTTTTAACGAAAAAAAAAAAAACCCCGATACAAAATTTCTTTTCTTATTAGCATAAATGAAATGGCACGGAGTTAACGATTGTATTGTATTGATGATAATAATAATAACAACAACAACAACAACTCCCCGCATTTTCCGTCAAAACAAAAAAAACTGAAACATTTCAAAGGCAGCAACGTTCGTAACGTCTGCACACGCACGCACACCTTATTGCATCTAATAATAAACTGTCGTGTTTGGCATTCGTCCCACACTTCATTAACACCAATCCAAAAGCTTTAAATGTTTTCTTTTCTTTCTCTCTCTCTCCCCCTTGTTTCCCTCCCCTTCCCCCTTCCCAACCGCCTCCCCCAAACTTCCTTTCTTTTTTTTTTCGAAAAATTGTAATTATTTAATAAAAATTCCAAGAGACGACCATCACCACCATTCTTTAGGAAAATAATGATGATGATGAATTCTATCTCGCTCGCCATGCATTCAATTTTCGGTCTCGACAGTAAAATTGCGACAGGGTTTGTAAAAAAACAACAAACAATAATTATGATAATCCTTCCTACGCTCTTTCAAAACAACCCAATAAAAAATGAAAAAAAAAAAAAAATTTTTTTAAAACAACTTACGCGTTCGCGAATTATTAATAATAATAATAATAAAAAGCAGTAAAAAAAAAGAAAAAAAAAGCTAAATTTCCATTAGAAAGACTTTTTTGATTGAATGAATCTATTGTGATCGCACTTAGTGAACGGGACGCGGTGTCTCAGTGATGACAAAATTACAAAAAAAAAAAAAAAAAAAACCAAAGGGTGTTGAAAAAAAAAAAAAAAAGCGTTTATAAATCTTTGTTCTGTTTTTTTTTTTTTTTTTGGGGAGTTTAAAATGAAGATGGGTGATCGCAAAGACTGGTGAGTAAGTAAAAATAAAAATAAAAAAAAAATCGATTTGAAACAAACAAACAAACAAATGAATAAAAACGTGTAATTATTACCTTTAGGAGATTAATCCGAGTTATTAAAGAGCTTTTATCCGATGGATTCACGGGCGTGATTAATTTCGTATCATTGTCTTCCGCTTGGCAAACTCTGCTTGAGCAAAACAAACAAACAAACAAACAATTTTTTTTTTTTTTTTTAAATTGCACACACACACACACACACTCAAAAAAAATTGTTTGAATATTTCATTCAATTTTTGTTACCTTTCTTTTATCGTTTGAAGATTCGAAAGTAATTTTTTCCATCTTCCACGAAGGTTCGTCACGCTCTCTTCCAGGTCCGTCATTTCGTTTTTACCGGAGCTCATGAGAATTTCTTCGCACCGGTTGGACACGCTGTTTATCATTCTGTGTTTCACGGTTGCTTGTTTTTCCAAATCCACGTGTCGTCTCGACGGAGATTTTAATGTTTCTTCCGCGTTCGAAATCCAATCGTTTAATTTTCCGCAATCGGATTTCAAACTTTTCCACGTGTCGTTACACCTCACCCATTTGCTGTGACGATCCGTGTAGGCTCGGTTCAATTGCGACCATTCTTCTCGTAGTTTATCGATGACTCGACGTAGTTGAGCCGATGTTTCCGAACAAGAGCTCTTCAAGTAATTTTCCCGCGATTTTTCTATTTGATCGACTCCGACTTTTAATTCGCCGATGGCTTCGCTGATTCCTTGCAATGCGGATTCTTGCTGAAGGAAATTTTGAAAGTCGGCACCGGATAGAGGAGGCGAATGCAAACGCCTGAACAAAGTCGACACTCCCTCTCTTATTCTGTTGACTTTTCTCACGAGTTCGAGACCGGGTTCATTGGCTAATTTGTTCTTCGGCAAAGAGTCTTTGGATAACGACTGCAATTGTTCTCTCATGGATTCTAATTTTCCGGCTAATATTTGAACGAGTTTACTGTTATGCGCAATTTGTTGAACTTGCATTTCCGAATTCATTTCTTGTATTTTGTAAAGTTGCTCCCATTTGAGTTTCAATTCTTCTCGTAGATTTTTCAGGCAAGATTGATCGTTGTTGGCAGATTGCAATCGCGGTTCCGCTTTGTTAATCCATTTTTCCAAATTTTCGCAGAGCTCTTGATACTCATCAGCAATTTGTTCGGCTTTTTGAGCTTGAATTTTTCTCACCTTGAATTTAAAACATACAAAATTCAACATGGAAACCTTTAAAAATTTAATTATTTAACGCGCGTGCATCAAATAATATTAACCTCAGTTTCCGCCATGACCTGACTCCATTTGGCTCGAAGTTTGTCCTGAGTCAGCGATAGTTTTTCCGCTTGAACAAGATCTTTAAAATGAACATCCAGTACGAAACCGTCACCTTTACTAATAAGGGATGCAGCGTCTGGAGCAATACCACTTAACTCTCTTTCTAATATTTCCAATCTTTTTTTCGGATTCGGCTCGCCCCCCACGCCTCGTACTGTTTGAAGCATGTTATCCATACGAGACAGCATTTCTCTTGCTGATTCTTCAAAATTTGATACGGTATTTACTTTCAACGGCTCGTTTCTTTCCATTGGTATAAACTGTAAAAAATAAATAACGGCATTTTATCAAAAAAAACTTTCAAAACAAGATGAAAACAAAAAAATTACTCTTACCATAAATAAAACCTCTTTCTTTCTTTCTATCTTTTATTTTTTATATTAAACCTGAATACGTAATCGGTCAAATCGATACCTTTACTCATACTAATATTAACTAACCTGCTCGGAAAAAAACGATTCAACATCATCATCATCATCGTCATCACTAACAGTACTTTCGGTATTGGGATTATCGAGAACATTATCATCTTCGGAAAACACGAGTTCTTCGTCATTGTCTTTATCACTTCCGTAAAAACTATCGTAGTCCGTATCGGAACTATCGAATTTCGTTTTAGGTTTTGTTTTTTCCTTATCTTTAATTTTACCAGGAGAAGATGGAACGTCGGATTTTAAGGTATCATCTTTTCCTCGACTTTCATCCTTGTCCGTTTCTTTATTTTCCGAAACATCTTTTTTCAAAACCGGGTCCGCACCTTTTCTTTTCAATTTATTTTTTTCATAATTGAAGGGTTTCGGATATTTTTCCAATGCGGGCTCTTGTTTTAAATGTTCTTCGACGATTTTCGGATCTTCGCTTTTGGTAAAATCCTCATCGTTGGACACTTGAACCAATGTCGTCAAATTTGTTTCGTCTGAACTTCCCTTAAATTCCTTTTCTTTCTCGTTCTTATCCGATCCGGAATTTCCCAAATTTTTATCGACGCTTTTGAGAATTTTCGACGGGTGTCTCACATTTTTTTCGCCATCCGAATTTAATCTTTTAGGTTTGATAATCGTTTCTTCGTCTTTCCTCGAATGTAATTTTTTCGAAATATTTTCCTCCGACGATTCGCTTTCGATATTATCTTTCTGCTTTAACAATCTTCTAACGAAAGCGGGTGAATTGCTTTCCGGTTCGGTATCGGTGTCGTCGATTATTTGCACCATTTCCACGTCGTCGGGACCGGGCACGACGAGAGATTCGACAGCCGTAACCACCGACCTCATTATCTCACCCGCTTTAACCTCCACGACTTTGCACGGATTTTCTTGATCTTGATGCTCGGAATTTATTTTTTTCACTTGCAATTTATTTTCCGACAATTGAGAAAACAAACTGCTCTCTTCGACCAATCTGAATGTATTAGCATCATCGTCTTTTTCATCCTTTTCTAAATTATTCGACATTTCGTAATCCGAATCCAATATTTTGGCTTCGTTTTTACCATCGCTTATTTTAATTTTTTTACTTTTACATTCGTCATTTCCATCTCTTAAATGTCGGCAAAAAACAACGTTGATCTTATCCTTTTTCTCATTTCTCTCGACCACGTTATCATAAGTTTCCATTGAATTAGATAAATTTTCTTTATTCATAGATTTTAATTTCTGTAAACAACAACCGAGCGGTTTTCTTAGAAATACCAATTTTTTAGAGGGAAACTTTTTGATCGTGAGTTGAAATTGAGGTTGTTAGTCCCAAAATCCAAAACGCAAAACGCATTTTAATAAGCGAACAATAAGTTTTGTGCGTTACACAATATCCTCATCCGTTGTGAAAGAGTGCAAGTAAGAAATAATTATTAGGATCAAGTGCACAAGTTGACCAATCACCAGAATATTCGTGGTCGAATTATAAGCATTGTCATAATAATAATAATTATTTTTTTTTTTTATCATTATCAATAATAAACACGCATATTAACATGAATCTCGAGACACACACGGTTAGTTTTGTTTTGTTTTTTCAATTTTTAAATGTTTTTAATAATAAATTGTTTTATTATTATTATTTCTTCAAAGCAAGCACACAACAAAAAAAAAAAAAACTTCACAAAATCATTCGTTAAAATAAAATAAAAATTTAAACAAATTGCAAAACAAGCGTACAAAGAATTTACAGCGAGCGCACAACATTCGCACAACAAAATAAATAAATAAATAAATAAATAAATTTCTTAAGACACTTACTAATCTGACAAATCTGACACCACAAGAAAGCATGAAAATTGAAAAAGCTTTTTTTTTATATCAAGTTTAATATTATAGAATACTCGATTCGCGTGATTTTTTTTTCCTTCTAGAAAAATTTTTTTCGTTTTTTTTTTTTTTTTTTTTTTATTTACACGGAAAACTAATTTAAATTTTTTTTTTTAAATTGTACAATACTTAACTTTTTTTTTTTACATTGTCGGACGTTGTAATTTTAATAATTTTAATACTTGACTTACTTGTTTGGAATGAAGAGTGTGACGAAGTCTGTGTTCGGCTCTTTCGCAGCGATTAATACAATTCGAAACTATTTCGTTGATTTCTTTCGGCGAAACGGATTCGCACAAAGTAATCAATTCCTCCACTCGATTTTCCATTCCTTCTCTCACAGTTCTCCACTTGGGTACATCTTCATCCAAAAATTTCTATTTAAAAAAAAAATAATAAAACGTTAAATTTTTACAACGTAGTTTTTTTTTTTTTTTTTTTATATTGTACCTTTAGCATAACGACGTCGTCGGAATTATCATCAACTTTGTCGGTAAGTTCTCTGCTCCACGAAGTGAGATCCTCAAGGTCTTGTACTACGCATTTAGAAAGCTCTAATGCTGTTTCCAAGCTTCCTTTTGCACTCGTTATCTCAGATCCCAACCTGTTGTAAAGTTCTTTCAAAGCATCGATTCTCGGTGTCAATTCCGGTTGTTCTTCCGCTTGCTTTCTACCCTCTTTAATAACCGTTTCGACTTCCGGTTTTATGTCGCTCAAAATTTGATAAAATTTCTATTTAAAAAAAAAAAAATAATAATAATAATAATAATAGCAGTTTTTCAGTCAACCGAACGTGAATTGATATTTTTTTTTTTTAAACAATAATTCATACTAACACGGCAATAATTAAGTTGTCCTTCAATGTTTTCTGGCAAGTGACTGGTTAATTCGAGGAGGCAAGCTGAATCTTCAACTCGTCGCAAATCTTTCATAGCTCTTGAAATTCTTTCTTCGATTTTACTTCCGGATCGAAATTGATCGAATTTAACTTTCACCTCGGCAAATTGATTTTGAAGCATTTTTATTTGGTGACCTAATCTGGCAGCCGCTTCTAATCTCCCTGCACGCCTGTAATTTTGTTCTTGTGCCGTCATATCCTTGAGCACGGCTTCCTGTTGAGCAAACTCTTCCATGAGTTTTTGACTGTCTTCCGGAAGGTCTTGAGCCGTAATGTCTCTTTTTAATCTAGTGGTCAGCGAAATGTCCACTTGAGCCAACCACCTTTGCAAAGCTTGAAGCCGACCTTCCGATTTTGTTGCTTCCTGAGCGGATCCTTCGAGAACTTGAGCTCGTTCGCCTGCTTGCTGACTCAAAAGATTCCATCTTGCCGTGATGTCGTGAACGTGACGTCTCACTTCGACGGATAAAGCTCCTGCGGCAATCAAACCTTTTCCCAATTCTTGAATTCTAGATAATCGTTGATCGGGATGATTTCGAAGATAATTTTCTAAATCCTAGTAAAAAAAAAAAAAAAAAAAAAATGCTTAATTCGATTTCTTACCAAAAAAAAAAAAAAAAAAATTTTTTTTGAAAATTACATCCAATTCCTCGGAAATGTCTTCAGCGTCTGCAGCACTTTCCGGTGATTTTCTAAGACGTTTTTCCAACTTATCCAACCAATCGCTTTCTTGCGCAACCAAAGCTTTGAATTCTCCGTATTGCTGTGAGGCTTTATCGAGTTGTTTCGACCTTTCCAACACTTTTTCTAAAACTTTCTCTTTCCGAGTTTTTAATTCGTTTAATTTTTCATTCGTCGCTTCGAATTCTTTGTCGGACAATTGAATTCCCACCGATTCCAACGCATTGAAACTATCATTCTTTGACTCTATGCTTTCTTTTAAACGTCCGTGCCACGTTCTGGCTTGAGATAACTGAGAAGTGTCCGATATATTATCCATTTTTTTACTTTCCTCTTCTACGAGATTTAACCAACGCAAACACTCGTTAACGTCGGCAAAATATTTTTTGACATTTTCCAAATCTTGATAATGTTCCCGAAACAAATCAATTTTATTTGATATTTTGTTGACTTCGACGGTTAAAAAATCTTTCAACTCAACGTCTGAAACTTTGATTATCTGGCCCAGCGAATCATGCAAAATCACGATTAAATTTTCTAATTGATCGACTAACGATTTGAATTCTTGACAATACGCGTCTAAATTTGTTTCGTCGAATGATTGATTTTTCAAATGTTCCAACGTTTTTATCTGATTTTCGACCGTCGACAAGTTTTCGTTATGTTTTTTTAACAATTCGAAATTCATCATCAAATTATTCTTTTTCGTTTCCATTAAATCATTCAATTCGCTCCATCGCGATTGAACGTGCATTAATTGTGGAAAACTTTCCATCTGCGTCAATTTTTCTAATTTTTCATTGTGGTCGGAAAACGTTTTTTGTAATTCGTTGAATTTTTTCATGTTCGTTTCGACGTCTAACGACAGTTGAACGCTACGCAAGTAATCATCATCCACCGTTTCCATTAAATCCTCTAACGTTTTTACGTACTCGTTAATTTTTTCGTTATAAAATATTCCAAATTTAACAATGACGTTATCGAAATTTTCGTAAATATTCATCGAATCCAGACCGCTCTCATCTAATTTCGTATTTAAATTTTTCACTTCGTTCTTTTTCTCAGCCAATGACTCCATTCTCTCCGTCATTTGATCAAATATATCGACAGTTTTTTTCCTGTTGGCTTTTTCCATCCATTTCGAACAATCGTCCATTGTTTTCTTAACGTTTTTTAATTCCGTCAAAAGGCGATCGTTATTTTTTTCAATCATTTTCTCCTTGGCTTCCTCGCATTCTTTAAGTCTTTCTTCCAATGCATTCCACCTGGATGTCAAAGTCGATAAATTTTTCTGCTCCTGTTGTTTTTTCTCCTTGTTATTTCGAACTTCCTGTAAAACTTTTTGACCCAAACTCAAAGCCGTGTTAAAATCTTTTCTTCGATTTTCTAAATCTTCTTCTCCTTCTGCGCATAACTTCAAATGTTCATCTAATGAATGACTTCCGTTTTGAACGTTTGCGTCTGACTGATCCAAAAGCGTTTCCCAGCAGTCGAGCCAAGAATTTAATTTTTCGAAAATGCTATCGAAATCGCTCACGTTCGAACTTATCTTACGTTTTTTCGTTTCTATTTGTTCCGCTTTGTCTTCAATGTATTTTTCTTCAATTTCCGGACCGAGGAAACTTATTTCAAAACCGGAATACCTTATCCTCTGAGCCTGAACTTCTAAAATTGATTTCAACGCGTCGAGACGATCTTGAGCCGTTTCTAAATCAATTAAAAGTCCGGCTGCTTCGCCGTCTAATTCGCAATCATCTAATTTTTCAGCTTCGATCATTAATTCAACAATTTTCTCATTGTTTTTTTCAATTTCTTTATACATGTTCTTTAACTGTTCCGTTCTTTTAATTATTTTTGGTATTTCCGAAACCGGCTCCGCTTCCATTTTTTTCAAAGTGGCTTCGGTTTCACTTAGCCAAGTACCTAAATAGTGGTAATCGTCACCCAAACGCCTTTGATTCGCCGAAAGATTTTTCAATTGAATCACTTTATCGTTGATCCACTGGCAAATATGAATCCAACGATCTCCAACTTTTACATTGTCTTCCGTGTCTCGATTGCCTGCAATCAAGAAAAAAAAAAAAATTGTTTTTCATGTTTTCTTCGAAATAATATTACGCAATTAAAAAAAAAAATATGTAAAAAATTATTACTGCTTTCAAAATTTGCATCTTCCACTAATACTAATTTTTTTAAAGACTCAGCAATGCGTTCGTGGTCTTGAATTTCTTTTTGCAGGGCCAAAGCCTGATTCAGTCTTTCCGTTAATGTTCCCGAATGAGTCGTCAATCTCGTTATACGTATTTCAACGTCGTTTAACCACTCTTTAAAATTTTCCAATTCGCTATTTTGATTTTTCATCAAGTGCTCAATGACTTTAGATTGTTTTTCCATGGCGGCCAATCTTAATTGTTCCCACCTCGAATCTAATAAACTGATTTGAAGTCGTACTTCGTTCTCTTCTTCCACGGATAAATCCCCGAGGGAAATAATATTAGAGCCCTGAAGCAAAACATCTCCGATTTCCATGCGATGCCTTCTGATCTCTTCCAAAAATTCATTGTAATCGTTGAAATAATTTCTCGCCGTCGTCAAATTATTGCACTCTTCGAAAGGAAAACTTAATTTTTCTTCTGCTTCTAACAACCACGTAAGAACTTCTTCTAAATCGCTTTGATACTTTCCAAGGGCGACTGACACCGGCCTAGGACCAGGACTAGATTTTGTCGTGTTTACTTTTTTCACTTCGTTCGACAAAGAGTGAAACAAACAAGCGATGTACATGAGAATAGATTTCTTGTCCGGGGATTCCGTATTTATATCTAAGAGACAAAAAAATAAAAGTAAAAAATTTTAAAAAAAAAAACCTTTTCAGTGTAGGTGTAGAAACATACCTTCGGGATCTAAAAATTTTTCAATATCCAAATGATGAGCTGCAAAATCGAACGCGTGTTCGAGACGTTCGACAGGACTTAAAAGTTTCACTTCATCGAAATCAATCAAATTCGGTTTCCAGCAATGTAAAAGAGCGTTGAAAGCGAGTCCGTCGGACCAAGATGTCGTGAAATTTTCTATCTTGACGTCAGAATAATTTTTCGTGTTTTGCTGACACCAAGCGAGTAAAGTCTTTTCTAGATTACTTTGGTGAAGATCGGACATGCTTCCCTTGAGTCTATCCACTTGAAATTTCATTATAATGCTCCATATTAATCCGAGTGTGAGTTTTTGATTTCCATCGACGATGCATTCGCTGGACATTCCAACTAATTTCACATTGTTTTCTTCTAGTATTTGCAATGCTTTATCAACGTTTGATAAACTGTGGACTCTTGTCGACCCTTTTTCTCGTTTCTAAAAATAAATAAATAAATTTTTTCGTAAATAAAATACCCCCCCCAAAAAAAAAAGAATATTTAAATATTCAAAACAAATTTTTCATTTAAATTAATTCTTGTACTTGAAAAAGTCCTTAAAGATTATTAAATCTTCAAGTCGATAATAATAGTAATAATAAAATTTTACATTTTAATTTATTTAAAAAAAAAAAAATCGGTTTGAGATGTAAAATAAAAAATAGGTAAAACATTTTTTTTTTTTAATATTTAAGCTCATTATTTTTAAATCCCAACACATTTTTTTTAAAAAAAAAATTGACCTTACATATTGTTTATCAGTTAAAACTTCAACGAGTGATAATAATTTAGATCCATCTTGTAAATCTGTAAAGAGATCCACGATCGGAGCGCAATCCGTTTTAGATAAATGCATGTTTATCCATTTTGTAAATGTTTTCTTCTGAACCATCTCCCTCTTATCATCTTTAAAAAAAAAATATTGATATCACACAGACATACAGACAGCCTTTTTCTTTTTTAATAAGGAACGAGACACTAAATAAATTTATTACGACACGAAAAAAATTTTTAAACGTTTAATAATAATAATAATAAAACGATTTATTTCCAGAAAAATAGAAAATCGAATCATTTAATTATTATTAAAAATAATAAATCGTTTCGTTTATTTACCATAACGATATACCTATTCATATAACCGATTTAAATTATTTAAAAAAAAAAAACGGGAGTTAAAGGAAGTCATTTGTTTTTTCTCATTTGTTACGCCCTATTTAAAAAATAAATAGTAATGATAATAATAATAATAAATAAACCCACGTTCCAAGTCGAATATATACATATATACATTTTTTTTTTTTTATTTAAACGGATTTTCTATAAGTAAGACTAAGGTAGTAGTCGAATTGTAACTGTAATAAAAAATTAAACGAAACAAAAGACTTTTTTTTTTTTTAATAATTTTTATGAATCATGTTAATTAATTCTAATTAATATGAACCACACAAATTATAAGCGTTGAAATTTTTAATGTCATCTCTTTCCGTCAGATCAATTAAAATATGAAAAATTCGATTTTTTTTAAGTAAATGTGACAAGAATTTTTTCTTTTTTTCGTTTTTCAAACCAAATTATTATTATTATTATTATTATTATTATTATTATTCGTTTCCGACTACGAAAAAAATCCTTTTAAATTATTTTTTGATTATAATGTAACAAAAACAACAGGCAAAACTAAACGGATAATAATGATAATCTAAGGCCATTTTTTTTAAATTTCAAAATTAATGACGACGACAATTTTTTATATCAAATGAAAATTCAAAAAAAAAATGGCCTTTATAACGTAATCATCTTAATAATATTTTAAACCTTTAATTTTTCCTGTTGTTTGTCTTATTAACAACAACAACAACAACAACAAACAAACAAAAAAATATGTTTTTCACCGCATTAATATTAAAAGGAAAAAAATTAAATGCCTTAAATTAAGATCGTTTATGCTCTTATTAATATTATTATTATTATTTATAAATATTGTCTCTTCTGCTAGCTCGTAATATCCCGTGACTCCTTACCAATAATAATAATAATAATAGTAATAAAAATTTATAATTGATGGGGGTCAACCGTTCGTTTGACACAACGTAACAATCTTATACGCGATATCCCTATATTATAACCACAACTATTCCCTATCGATAATGATAATGATAATGATAATAATAATAATAATAATAATAATTAAATGTAAATATTTATATATAAAATTTTTAAAAAAATTTCATTTATTTATTTATTTACTTATTTTTTTTTTTTTTTCATTAAATTTTTACAGTAATTTTTTTTTTGTTTATGACGTCATATTCACCTTATTGCCACGCCGTTTTTTTTTTTTTTAAATTAATTAAATTCTGTAAAACGTTTATTTACAAAAAAACTTAAGCAATGATGACACACGCATCCGCATACATAATAATAATAATAATGATAATAATAATAAAATTTGAATTAATTTTCTAAGGGTCAGACGCATAATTTATATACAAGGATAAAAAGTAAGAAAAATGTAATTTCGAGTAGGGAAAAAAATTTTTTTTTTTTTATGTTAAAGTTATTTTGTTGTTGATAATAAAAAAACTTTAAAATTTAAATACCCTACACGCACGCACACACACACAAACACACACGTAAGAAAAATTTAAAGAAAAGAAAAGAAAGAAAAAAAAAAAGAAACGTTATAAAAGAGATTTAGTTACATTATGACCGTCGACATTTTTTTTCTTTTTTTATTGTCACGAATGTCTATCTAATAAGGGCTAATAAAAATGTTTAAAAAAAAAAAAAGACAAGGTTTAAACCCAACCATTGTCCTCCATTAAACAAAAAAAAAAAAAGAAAAAGAAACAAATCTGCAACAACCTTGTTTGAGGAGGAAAAAAAAAAAAAAATTTTTTTAAATTCAAATTTTAAACTTTCACGTTTATTTTCAATTGACAAAATATTCATCAAATTTTCAAAATTCTTGTCAATTAAATTAATAGAGAAATATGATAAAAATAGGTATTGGGGGGAGGGGAAATTGAAAGAAATTCGCAAAACGGTGGCAAGTAAAAAAAAAAAAAAAATTACCGTAAATTACTCAAGGCAAAATAATAATGCCTCCACTACATTTTTTGTTTAAATCATTTGTTACAAGTAACACAATTGTGTTTATTATTTAAAAACATAAATAACAAAAAATGTTCAGAAGCTTTTTTTTTTTTTTTTTATCTTAATTACGAAACAAAATTTAACAAGTAACATGGAGTAAAGTTTTTTTTTTTTATATGAAATATTTTCTTTGTATTCTTTAAAAAAAAAAGAAACAAATTAAGAATGTTATATTTAATAAAAGATAATGGCGATGATGGGTTACAAATTAAACAACATAAATTGTGTGTCTGACCTTCGTTTCTCATGAAAACATGAATTTCAGAAGGGAAAAATTAAAAAAAAAAAACACTCTCTTTAAAATTAATTAATTAAAATTGTGTGAAATTTTAAAAAAAAAAAAATTATTTTGAACTAGTCTTTTGTTAATGAATCCTTAATTTTATTAAAAAGTTAAAAAATTTAATTTAATGAATATGATGAAAATTTAAATTACATATGAAAGATTTTTAAGAAAAAAAAAAAAATAAAATACTTAACGACACTGAATAAAAATCCTTATAAGTTTTTTATGAGTGAAATGATACAAAACTTGTATCAATGATGTATTTAAACTTGTTGGAAAAAAAAAACAGAAAAAATGATTTGAAATAATAATAACATCAGACAACAGTAAAATTATTTTAAAACTATGCGAAAACATGAAAAATTTTAAAAATCATTACATACGAATATTTTTCTCGATTTTTTCTCATTGTTTTACATAACGAGCAAAACAAAAAAAATTGAATATATTTTTTTATGTTAAATTAATTTAAAAGGTTTATTGAGAGAGACAGAATTCAGTGAAGAAGATAAAAGAGAGAAAAAAAAGTAGTAGAACCTAAAGATAATTATGTACATAATATATAAAAATAAATGTTAAAATCATTATTTCATTTGTCGCATGCACAAAAAACATTTAAAAATAATTTAAAACAAATAAAATTGTAAGTTATCATTAATTTGGGATCTTATCAGAAAAAATGATCGATAAAATTTAATGGGTGGTTCGACTGAATAAATGATTTTACATTATCAGATATTTTTTTTAATGGCGAAATAATTTTTACAATTAGCCATTTTCATATGGTATAAAATTTTCTATTGTTAATTATGTACATTTTTTTAAATGTATATTTCTTTTATTTTTATTTATAAAATAATTTCTTTATTCGTTAAATATTGATTTTAAATAAAAAAAATAATAAAGTATTCATAATTTTATAATCAATTATGGATTTGTAAATTACAAAGGACATGATGGGAAAACAATAATTTCTCAGTAAGTAAATAATAATTTCTTCAACAGGTGGGTGAAACTACATTTTCCGTTATTTACAACAAGTTGTCTTAATGGAACGAATGAGAATTTTTTATTTTTAAAAGTTAATAATTTAAAAAAATAAGTTTTGTGTAAATTACAAATATAGAAAAAAAAACGTTGATGTCAAGGCGAGTTAAATAATGAATGAAAATGAATTTTTTAAATACCTGAAAATACAGATTCCATTTTTGTTAATTGATTAGCCGGATTTATATATTTTTTGATGAATTATTTAAATTTTTTCTCTGTCGAATGCATAAGATCTTTAAAAATAATTTCACGGAATCGAATTAAGATCTCATAATTAAATCACTTTCCATCGATAATCCATCGAATGTAAAATTTGAAAAATAAAGTTTATGACACTCCATTATATTAATAATAGCGTTTGAAAAAAAAAAATATAATTAAACATTTTTATAATGAAACGATAATATTTTTCAAATATGAGTAAACATTATTGTTATAATAATTTTTAATAACTTAAAAATAATTAATTCATTATTAATAACAGAAAAATTTTATAAACAAAAGAACGAAGTTGAGATTTTTTTAAAACGTAGACAAGCGATATATCCAAACTACACGCTACAAATAACAGTAGATAAACTACGATGCCTCCTGTATAATTTAATTTTAATTGAATAAAAAAAATTTTAATTTTTTAAAATAAAAATTCAATAATTTCACTTATGTATTTTAATTTAATAATAATAGTTTAAAAATGAAAAGAAAATATATTTCAAAATGCAAAAATAATTAATTTAATCGTTTAAAAAAGAATTTGTTTGAGTTTTTAAATCGCGGAGGCATTGATAAATATTTCGTTTCCACTACACTAGACAAACCAATTCTCCCAAACGTTTATTATAAATGCATCATATATCCTCGTTATTAACATTTTTAAAATCAACATGGCGGAAATAGTTTTGGCGGGCAATGACCACCAAACAACTTAAAAACCATCAATTAAGTTTTATTTATTTAAAAAAGCGATTGAAAAAAATTATTCTCATTAACAAAATAATAAAAATTTTAAAATAAATAATATAAAACTTACCTTTCCTTCCATCGCTAAAAAAAAAAAAAAAAAAATAAAACCGTTTTTCAAATTTAAAAATCAATTAAATAATTTTAATAAATAATTAATATTTTATAATCGAAGAACAGGGTAAATAAATAATAAAAATAAATTATAATTAATAATAAATAGAGTAAATCACGTTAATTTATTATTTAATACTTTATAAATAATAATAATAATATTTTCAATGTTTTAATAATTAATATACATATATGTATGTATTTTTAAAAACTCTGTGCTTTTCCCTTTTTATTTATTTATTTATTTATTTATTTTTTTATTTAATAATAATAATGTATTATCAAAGTATCATAAAATTATTTTAATATATGACTGATAATAACAATAATAATAATAATCTCTAATTTTACAAGAGATTTTCTATCATGTGTAAAAAAAAAAAAAAAAAAAAAAAATTATTTTCAGCCATTGAATGATGTGATAAAAAATAACAAAATAATAACATAACATTAAATAATCTATTATTTTTCAAATACACACGCACGCACACGCATACATAAATTTATGTATGCGTGTGCGTGTGTGTGTATATTCATAAGCAAACAATACAATTGATAATTATTATTTTATGCAATGTTTTTTATCAATCAATCAATCACTGAAATATGAACTTTATTAATTATTTATTTATATATATATATAATGTGATAAATATAAATAGAAATTTAATTAAATCTTTCAGACGACAACAATAACAATTAACAAATTATTATTATTTATTTATTTAAATTTAAAAACACTTTTTTTCTACTTTTTTTTTAATTTATAAAGAAAAAATAAAACAAAAAAAAAAAAAAATTAAAATAATTTAAAGTTTTATTTATTTATTTTAAAAATTATTTCAATTAAACGTAGCATGCGATTATTATTATTATTATTTATTTATTTATAATTTTTCTCACGTATTTTCAACTAACTATATAATTATACATTAAATTATTTATTTATTTATTGAGTATTT